CCCCCACAGGAATGGCAAGTGCCGATGTCACATTGGATCTACTACATGACATTAATTGCGATGCTCAGTGGGATCATGATTGGATTTACATTGTTCGCAGCGCTGTGGTTTGTGGTGCGAAAGGAGATATCTGGGCCAGGCGATCCCAACCCCATCCAGATCGGGACCATAAACAACACCAGCAATGGGTCCAAGGCCGACCACACCGGGCACGCGGACACTCCCTTGCCCGGAGTATATCCAGGATGGGATGGACGATACCTTGGACGTCGTAACAACGTACAGCCTACCATTCCCGAAGACGTCGACGGAGATGTCTACATGGAGCCGCCGATGATTGCCGTCGCAGCCCAGAGTTCATCATCAGCAAGCGGATCGGCAGCGCCAGCCGCACCGCCCCCATCACCGGACAGCTTCGCGCAGGGAGCGAGCTCGGCGCCATCATCCCTGATGACGGTTCACAGTTCCTCGTCAGCCAGTGTGGTTTCGTGGAACGGATCGACGCCAACGGTTTCGCCATCAGAGATGAACGCATGCATGGCCGCCGAGCACAACATACGTGTGGGACACAACACACATAGTGTCTACATCACCTGCAGGACGTGCAGGAAGCATGCGTCATGGCTTCGCAGGAATCATATGACCCATGAGCCAGATTTTTCGAGGATGCACAATAGTCTGCGCTGGGATTTACAGAATAGATGGAGGCAGCTACAAGGACTGCCCGGCAAGGCGAAAGCTCAAAATAAGATTTCGTGACGCACGCCGCCGCTCTATATTTGGCGCCACATCCTGTGGCAGATTACGTTAGTCCGCATCGCTCTGTCAGCTCGTTTTCTTTACACTTGGAGCCACATCGTGTGGCAGACTACGTTAGTCCGAATTGTCTACCAGCTCGTTTTCTTTACATTTGGCGCCACATCCTGTGGCAGATTACGCTAGTCCGCATTGTTCGAAGCTTTATTCAGTGTGCACAGGTTTTCTTTTATGTGGTGACGACCACACTATTGAGATTTTATCTTGATAAGATAGCGCTATTTGAGTTTTGTCGCATAGCGATCGGACTCGCGCCGCTGTTCGCTTTGAGAATTTATGTATTTCTTGCCGGTGCGTGTAGCAGCACCCGTTAAATGCCCTGGGGCAGCCGGATAGCATGCCGACAAGGCCGTTTGTCTGTGTTTGTTTTGGAGCGCTCTGATTAATGAAGTGAGCTGCGATCGATGATCGTCGCTCGACGGCGCCGCGAGCGTCAATCAGGAGGAGTGTGATTCCCGCTCACTCCCCGTGCCCTTCCTGCTCCTTCCCTGCTTCCCCGCTCTATCTCTCACGCCCGCCTTGTCGCTGCCGTTTTGTTTCGAACTAGGGCCCTTGGCCTTAGAGCTACGCAGAGAGCTTCGCCGCGCGATTCCTCGACAAACGATATCAGCGATATCCATAGATCACACCCGACAGGCCAACCACGAGATCCAAACCAACACCCATGATGCCTCTGACTCACCACCCAGGGCACGGTGGCGGGAGCAGTGACAGCACTCGTGCACAGCATGTTCCGGCGGGAGCCTTCCGGAACACGCTGCAGGAGGAGGAAGATCAGGAGGAGAGAGAGAGCTGGAGTGGGAGGAGGAGGAGGAGGAGGAGGAGGAGGAGGAGGAGGAGGAGGGGGACGAGGAGGAGGAAGAGGCCTCCCAGACAGCTCCAAGATACCCGAAGAGGCTTCCAAGAGGGCCCTGGGCGGCCCACGAGGGCCCCAAGGCGGTGCCTGAGGCGCCCAAGACGGCCCGAGAGGGCCCCAAGACGGCCCCAAGAGAGGCCCAAGAAGGGAAACATGAACCGAGAATCCGAGCTTTCTACCCCGAGAGGTTCTCGAGAAGTCCAGGGAGGCCCCCAATCGGATCCAAGAGGCCCCCAGGAAGCTCCCAAGAGGGCCGACGAGGCTCCAAGAGATCTCCCAAGGTGGCCCCAAGAGGCACAACTCATTGTTTTACGATTGGGCTTTGACGTTTTTGGTTTGGCCTTTCGGCATCCCGATGCTCCAAGACGGCCCCAAAGGCGTCCAATACCGCTCCCACATAAAGGAAGAGGCCTCCAAGAGGGCCCCAAGACGGCCCGCGAGGGCCCCAAGACGGTGCTTAAGGCGCCCAAGACGGCCCGAGAGGGCCCCAAGAGCCCCAAGAGAGGCCCGAGAAGGGGAACGCGACCCAACAGCAGAGCGGTCCCCCCACAAGGCCCACAGGAGGCTGCAAGAGGCCCCAAAGTGGTCCGACGAGGACCCCAAAAGCTCCCCGAGGGCCCAAAAGGCCCCTGGGAGACGTCCAAGAGGTTTTAAAATAGCCCAAGAGTGCCCCAAATGCATCAAAACTGCTTCCAGGAGGCTCCCGGGAGGCTTCCGGATTGCCTCAATCTGGCCGCAGGTGGCCTCAAGTCGGGCCTCCACGCAGCCAAGACGGCCAATGACGGCTTAAGATTGCAGAACCGATGCCCCCAAGGGACCCTCAGACGCCCCCCCAAGAGGCACCCAAGAGGTGCCTCCAACAGCCAGTTGACGAAGCACGCGGAACACCCTAGAAGCTCCTCAGATGCCGTCGCGCGCTTGTGCTTGATAGCGTGGTCCAAGATCGTCCAGCGCCCCCCCGGCCTGGGCTAGAACCTGAGCGCGCGCGAAGCGCGCGCGATGGTTCTAACCCAGGGGCCCGAAAACAGCTGCCCGACCCTCCATGCGAGTACCAGGGCTCATTGTCGCTGTGTTTTCACGGGGTTTCGGCGTCCCGGGCTTCGGAGGCCGCCGCGATGGTCCCGGACATTTTCCAGATCCTCGGCGCGGGCTCCAAGACCATTCCGCAGAGGGCTCCAACAGGCTCCAGGGCAGCCCAAGAGGGCTCCAAGACGGCTCCAGGAACGACTGCAGGGTCTCATTTTTCTTCTGTTTTCTGCAAGACGGCTCCAGGAAGACCGCATGTCTTCTGATCATGGCTTCCGCCTCTTGCCCCGAGCATCCCAAACTGCCTGAACGGTTCCCACTCGCCTTCCTCAAACCCAGCGCTTGCCCAAGCGCGTTCCGGACGGTCTTCGCCGGAACGCGCTGGAATGATCACGCGCTGCGGTTTCCCATGCCAACGTCCTCGGACGTGGGCGCCCTGCCACGAGCGCGTTCCGGGAAGATGCTCCTGGAACGCGCTGAAAAGATATGGCCACATCTCGGGGACGCTCCCGGCACTGCTGCCCCAGCCTTTCTGGGCAGCCTCCACAGCGCTCCAGGAGGGCCCAAGACGCCCCCTAGGAGCCCCCAGAATGCGAAAGGATGGCCCAAGACGCTCCCGAGCAGCCCAAGTCAGCCTTCCGACGGCTCTCGAGGCTCCCAGGTGGCCTCCAAGGGGCACCCAAGAGGTGCCTCCAACAGCCAGTTGACGAAGCATGCGGAACACCCTAGAAGCTCCTCAGATGCCGTCGCGCGCCTGTGCTTGATAGCGTTGTCCAAGATCGTCCAGCACCCCCCCAGCCTGGGCTAGAACCATCGCGCGCGCGAAGCGCGCGCGATGGTTCTAGTATATATATATATATATATATATATATATATATATATATATATATATATGTATGTGTGTGTGTATATATATATATACACATAACGGCGCACCGGGTCCGGGGGCCCGGGGCCGGGACCCCGACCGCAAATGTGGGCCCTGGGGGGCCCGGAGGCTCGTCGAACCGCCGGACGCCGTCCAAGATCGTTCGCAGGCGGCTTCGGAACGCGCTCCGATGGCTCCAGATGCCTTCCAAGACGCCTGTCATGACACCAAGAAGGTCCCAGAAACCTCCAAGACGCTCCGAGAGGCAGCCCAAGAGAGGCCCAAGAAGCAAAAATCGTGCCATTCCTATGGGAAAACGTATATTTTTCGCATGTTCGCCTCTTGGGCTTTCACCGCGTCCAAGACGGCCCAAGAGGCGCCCAAGACGGTCTACGAGGCCTCCGGGAGCGCTCCAAGGCTGCGCACGAGTGGCCCAGGACGGCCCCAAGACGGCCGAAGAGAGCCCCAAGACGAGTTCGAGAGGGGTCCCAGACGGAGAAAGCCAACCTCGAATTCCGAGCTTCCGGCCCAAGAGGCTCCAGGAGGCGCCAAAATGCCGCCAAGAGGCGCCAAAAGGCTCCCAAAAGCACCCCAAGACGTTCCGAGAGGCACCCCAAGAGAGGTCCAAGAAACAAAAATCGTGCCATTCCTATGGGAAAACGTATATTTTTCGCATGTTCGCATCTTGGGCTTTCACCGCGTCCAAGACGGCCCAAGAGGCCTCCAAGACGGCCTAGGAGGCCTCCGGGAGCGCTCCAAGGCTGCGCACGAGTGGCTCAGGACGGCCCCAAGACGGCCCAAGAGAATCCCAAAACGACTTCGAGAGGGGTCCCAGAAGGAGAAAACCACTCTCGAATTCCGAGCTTCCGGCCCAACACATCCCAGGAGGCGCCAAAACGCCGCCCAGAGGCGCCAAAAGGCTTCCAAAATCAGCCCAAGACGTTCCGAGAGGCACCCCAAGAGAGGTCCAAGAAGCAAAAATTGTCCCATTCCTATGGGGAAACGTATACTTTTCGCATGGTCGCCTGTTGGGTTTTCACCGCGTCCAACACGTCCAAAGAGGCTCCCAAGACGGCCTAGGTGGCCCCCAAGAGAGTTCCAAGACGGTTCACGAGGCGCCCAGGACGGCAAAATTGGACTCCAAAATGGCTTAAGAGAGCCCCAAGGCGTGCCCGAGAGGGGTCCCAGAGGGAGAAAGCCACTGTAGAATTCCGAGCTTTCGGCCCCAAGAGGCTCCAGGAGGCGCCAAGAGAGCTCCAAGAAGCCTCCACGAGAGACCCAGGACGCCCCAAGAGGCTCCAAAGGCGGCCCAAGAGAGCCCCAAGATGGGCCCGAGAAGGGGTTCCACGCAAGTTGTTATTGCATCTCGAGCGCGCCAGGAGGGTGGAGCAGGCGGGCCTCCCGCCCGAGGCACAGCTCGACCAGCGCGCGCAGGACGTCGACAGGCTGGCCCAAGCCACCCTTGGAGCGAGGTACGCCGCCGAGCTCAAGCATCATTTCGAGGGCGAGGAGGCCGTCCAGGTTACCCTGGCCATCGAGCTCTTCTCAAAGCTTGCCGCCGCGAGCAAGGCCCGCATTGAGGCGGCCAAGCGGGCGGCGGAGGCCCCACCCTCTGGGGCGCCTGCTGCGGCTGCTGCTCCTGCTGGGCGCCCTCCCGACCGCGAGGGCGGGTCACCAGCAGCCGCGGGAAGGGACGCCATGCAGGAGGAGGGCGATGACTTCGACGCCCGAGTGGAGGCTCTTGATGGGGCCAAACGAGCCGAGGTCGAGCGTTTCCTCGAGTCGCACGGCTGCTCCTTGCCCAAGCGCCTGCGCCTCCCAGCGGGCTCCGCTGCAGGCAAAGGCGCGGCAGGGGCAGCAGAGAAGAGCGAGGACCAGGCCCACTGAGGCGCCCGAGGGCGCGGGGGCGGCAGTTGCGAACCGCAGGGCCAGGGCGCCCCGCGAGGGCTCACTCTGGAGGCTGGTCTCTGCCAACACGACCTCCAGGGCGAGCGCGCGACGCTGGCTGCAGGAAGAGGCGCAGGGCGACATCCTCTTCGGGCAGGAGACGGGCGTGGCGCCAGGAGGTTTCCTGGCGGTCTCGGTCTACCTGGTGGCGACCACCAGCGGCCTGGACCCCGAGAGCAGGGTGCTGCTCGCGCAGTTGGGACAGTACCTCGAGGCGGCGCAGGCCCCGTACATCATCGGTCCCGAGAACGTCGAGGCCGCCGTGCTGGACGAGTCCTTCGACCAGGGAGGCGGCGAGAGGCGCGATCCTGGGGGGCCAGCCCCGTCGGGAGCGGCCCCCCAGGATCCAAGTCCTGGGACTGGCAGTTGGGGGCAGCCTGCGATAAATTGCCCTGCTCGCGTGGCGAGCTCCGACGGCCATGAGACATTGCCGAGCGGTCTAGGGCCACCCGCCCTGATGCCACCGTCAGTGTCGGCCGAGGCGCTGCGAGGAGTTCGCGCGTGCTACGACGAGGACTGGACAGTGGCCGTCCATCCCCTGAAGGGCGACGTGCTGGACTTGCCCCCGTGCGCCGCCACGGAGAGCGAGACTGAGCCTGCAGGGCAGGTCAGCGGCGCAGGCCAGAGGCACTCTGACGAGGAGGCGGTCGAGTGCGTGGCCAAGGTCGAGCGGCTAGGCCCTGCTGCGGGGTTCGGGCCCCCGCGGGCCACGGGCAGCTGGCCTCGGACGCTGGACGAGCTCTACGCCAGCTTCGCGGCGCTGATGGAGGAGGACTTGGGCGGCTTTTTCGACATGGAGCAGGAGGACCTGATGAAGTGCGCGGGCCGCGGCGAGTCCGCCCGCGTCCAGGAGGGCACCATCAGCGCCAGCAGGCGGAGGACGCGCGCCCGCGGCTCCCCGCAGGCGCGCACCTGGCACAGGATCGCGGCGCTGCTTTGGGAGATGCTGGCCAGCAGGCGCCGCTTGCGGGCGCCGCACCTCGTCTCGAGGGAGCTGGGCGTGCTGGCGCGGGTGCAGGCCAAGATAGGCAAGCTGGCTGCGCAGGACCTGGTTGGCGACATCGGCCTTAATTTCCTGTCACTGCTGGTGGGTTGCTCCTTCGCCACGACGCTGCTCCGCGTGATGCTGGTCGAGCCTTTGGACGCGATGCTGGCGGCCTGGCAGAGGGTGCGTCCATATTGGTCGGTCGACGACATCACGGTGGCGGTCTACGCCAAGCGAGCGCAGCTGGAGCAATTTCTGGTCTGGGCCACCCGCGCCCTCTGCTTGGACCTGGAGGCCATCGGCTTCGTCATCTCCTGGGCGAAGGGCCAGGTTCTGGGCACAGACTCCGACATCGCCAAGCGGGTCGCCCACAGGCTCAGACGATGGAGGTTCACACGCGTGAAGGCCATGAAGAACCTCGACGTGGACTTCGCTAAGGCGAGGTCGGCCTCGGGGAGGGTGCTACGGCAGAGGATCGATCGCCTGAGCCAGAGGGCTGGGCGGTACAGGGCCTTGCGCAAGGCGGGGGCCAAGAGGCGCTCCAAGGTTTTCAGGACAGGAGGGCTGGCGTCAACCCTCTACGGAGCGAGGGTCGGTGGAGTACCCAAGAAGACCCTGCAGCGAGCCCGAGCAATCAACGGCAGGGCCACTTCGGGCGAGATCGGCCAGGGATCCAGGACGGTCGTCTTGGCCCTGCAGGAGGGCAAGGACTGGAAGCACGACCCCGCCTACGCGGCGCACGTCCTACCGCTGAGGGCTTGGGCGCGAGCCGTCTTCCTGGGCGCGCGGCCCCCTGCGGTCTTCAAGCGGGTGCTGGAGCGCAGACCAGACGACTGGGGCGAGGTCACTGGGCCAGCTGGGGTGGTCCGCCTCTCGCTGGAGCGCATCGGTTGGGAGCTTTTGAATTGGCACTGCTGGAGGGACGGCCGCGGGCAGATCATCGACTTGCAGCTGCTCAGCCCGCGGATGGTAGCCAGCCTGGTCGAGAATGGGGTCCACCGTCACCTCATGCTGAAGATTGCGAGCCACGAGGGGTTCGGGGTTCGAACATCTCCAGGGCCGCCCGGAGCCTGGAGCCAGGTAGGGCGGCATTGGCGGGCATGCGGCGTGCAGGCAAGGTGCAGGAGGCAGCGCTGGGAGAGGCACATATGGCAGGAGGGCTCGTCACGCAGTCCGACCTGTACGTTGAGAGGGTAGAGCTCAGCCCGCTGCGCCAGTGGTGCGGAGAAGCACCAGGCACGGCGCACCACAGGCTGGTCGCATGCCCCGCCATCGCCTGCTGGGCGCGCGACCTGGGTTTCCAGGAGACCGCCGACGCAGGCAGGAGGGCGCCGCAGGACGACCTGGGCCTGGTCAGGGGCCTTGTCCACCACGGGCTGGACCAAGCCCCGCCCCCAGGCATGGACGAGCTCTGCCATCGCGCAGGCAGCGCGAGACACGGCCTCCGTGAAGGTGTCAGCTGCATCGACGGGTCCGCGGTGTACCCCGAGGCCCCGTACCTGACGCGCACGGGATGGGCAGCCGCGGCGGTAGACGACGTCGGGAACACCGTCGGCGGCCGCCTCATCCAGGAGATCGGCTACGCGGAGCTCTACGCGCTGCGCCAAGTTTTGGAGGAGGTCGGCCCATCGCCCATCACGGTCTACATGGACTGCAAGGGGATCAAAGACGACCTTGAGGCGGGCCGTGAACGCTGCTGCGGCCCAGGCCACAAGTATGCGGACCTGTGGAGACGGGTCTGGCAGCGGCTCGACGACCTCGGCCCTGGCTTCCTCGCGTTGACGTGGCTGCCGTCGCACACTTCGTGGGCCAGGGCCTGTGTGGCAGGGGTGCCATGGCAGGCATGCGCGGGCAACAGGGAGGCAGACCAGAGGGCGAAGGAGGGCGTCTACCCCAGGCAGGAGCAGCTGAGTGAGCTGAGCCGCCGCCTGAACGCCGCCGCCGTGCAAGCAGTGGCCTGGCGCGGCCACCAGACGGGTGGCTGCATCGTGTTTTGTCGAACAGGCGGGGCCCACGGGAGTCGCCAAGCAAAGTTCCTGGCCGACCTCGGCGTCCCGCTGGCCAGCAAGGGCCGTGATGCGGCTCGCCCGGCCCGCCGCGCCCTCGAGCGCCTCAGAGCGGGGCGGGAACCCCAGACTGGCTGCCGCTGGGGAGCGGCCCCGTTCCCAGTCTCGAGGGCGGCGGCGAGGAGGGTTTAATTTTGGTTTTGATCGGACTCCAAGGGGCCCCCCGCGCCAGGCCTCCTGCCTGGCGGGTCCTGGGTCTGCCGTGGAGTGTTTTGATCCCCGTTTGGGGCCGAGGCTGGTTTGCAGAGCGGACCGCCTCCTGGTAGGAACTAGAGGAACTAGAGGAGGAGGAGGAGGAGGAGGAGGAGGAGAAGGAGGAGGAGGAGGAGGAGGAGGAGGAGGAGGAGGAGGAGAGGGAGGAGGAGGAAGAGGAGGAGCAGGAGAAGGAGGAGGAGGTGCTGTGGACGCCGCCGAAGCTTCCCGGGGAGTCCTGGGGGCACCTTGGTCTAGGGCCCCTCGTCGCAGCGGCTGGGCGCAGCCCGAAACGTTGGAGCGTTCGGAGTCCCGGGGTCGATTTTGAGACGACTTTGCGTTTCCAGTGTCCCGCCCTTCTTCTCGACAGTCGAAGGCCAGACTGACAGATTGCCTTGGGTTCCAGGGGCCACTCTGGCGTGGCCAGGTTGGAGGTTTTTCCTTGCTCGCCAGTCTGTAACCTCGCTGGCTCCCTCGCCAGATTGCCAACTTTTGCCAGAATGGGGCCGCCAGATTGGCGCCAGATTGGCTTCGACTTCGCGTCCCAAGATTTCAGTGTCTCGCTCTTCTCCTGGACAGTCGAAGGCCAGACTGACAGATTGCCTTGGGTTCCAGGGTCCACTCTGGCTTGGCCAGGTTGGAGGTTTTTCCTTGCTCGCCAGTCTGTAACCTCGCTTGCTCTCCGCCAGATTGCCAACTTTTGCCTGATTGGGGCCGCCAGATTGGCTTCGACTTCGCGTCCCAAGATTTCAGTGTCTCGCCCTTCTCCTGGGTAGCCGAAGGCCAGACTAACATATTGCCTTGGGATCCAGGGCCACTCCGGCGTGGCCAGGTTGGAGATTTCTACTTGCTCGCCAGTCTGTTACCTCGCTGGCTCCCCCGCCAGATTGCCAATTTTTGCCCGATAAGGGGCCGCCAGATTGGCGCCAGATTGGCTTCGACTTCGCGTCCCCAATTTCTTCTCACAACGATTCCTGGGTCTGTGATTCGACAGAACCTAAGCGCGCGCGAAGCGCGCGCGTGGTTCTAGTTTATATATATATATATATATATATATTATATATATATATATATATATATATATATATATATATATATATAATATATATATATATCCCGGGGGAGCAGGCCCGGGGCCCGAAAACAGCTGCCTCGACCCTCCATGGGAGTACGGGGGCTCATTTTCCATGTGTTTTTCATAGGGTTTCCGCGTCCTGGGCCTCAGAGGCCGCCGCCTCCGACCCCCCATGGGAGGACGGGGCGGCCGGGGAGGTCCAAAATAGTCCAGGAGGGCCTCCAGGGGCTCCCAAGACGGCCCAAGCGGGCCCCGAGTCGCCGAAAGACCGTTCCAGGACGCCCAAGATAGGCCCAAGACGGCCCGAGAGGCCCCCCAAGGCACTCCACGACGCTTCAAGACGCCTCTCCAGAGCACTTCCGGAGGCCGAAATCGCTAATTTTACGACGGTTTTCGAACGGTTTTGGCCTTCCAGCTTTTTCGGCTGTCCGACGTTCCACGACGGCTCAATAGGCCCCCAAGAGCGCCCCAATACGGCCCAAGAGGGCCCCAAGACGGCCCCAGAGTCGCCCAAGACAGCCCAACAGAGCCCCAAGACGGCCCCAAGACGCGCCCAAGAGGGGGACCACGACTCCAAAATTCGACCTTCCCGCCTGAAGTGTGCCCCAAGTAGCCCCCAAGA